AATAATGATTATATCCCTTATATCCATTATATCAATTAAATTGAGCATAACTAATAAAACCATTAAATTGATTATAATCGTGATATCTTCTATAACTAATAAATGGGCTATAACAAATAAAACTGATATCTCTCTCATAACTAATAAAACTATTATCTCTATTAAATTGATTATATTTATTATCTTCGCTATATTAATTATTCAGGGTATATCTAATTTCTTTGTTATATCCAATATTTTGTCGGCAACTTCTTTTTTGGTAAAAGATTGTCATAATCAGGTTAACGTAAGTTGGTGCAGCGTCTTTTAGGTTACGTTTTCCTGACCTCACAATTCTATTGAACCTCTTCAAACTAATATACATAGTGAGCAGATTTTGTATTAGTATTGAGAGGTTATTAGATTTGAAAGTATTATAAACTTTTAGATTTATATAACAGAACAGACTAAATAAACTAATTTTTTATTAGATTTGACAGATTATCAGTTTTAAAAAGATTGATTTTTGGAAAATTTAATAGTACTTTCAAATCTGATAACCTCTTAATACTGATACAAAATTTGTTTACTATGCATATTAGTTTGAGGAGGTTTAATAGTATATGAAATTTCTGCTAAGTACTATTTAAAAAAAATTCTAATATTAGTAGTATTTTTAAATTCTAACTTAATAGCAAGATAAAGTATTAATATTTTAAAGTAAAATTTTGTATTAACGATCATGGCTAGTAATAAGAAGTCATATTTTAGGTAGCATACCCACAAAAATTTTTCTACCCCATAATTTATAAAACTACGTTATAATTAGAATTAGAGCAAAAACAATATAGAGTTGGGTTAGAGTTAGGGTTATTGCTATTAGTAAAATTTTACAAGGAACATTTTTAATTAAGTCGCAGAAGGTGATTTCTTAATTAAAATTTCAAGTTATTTTAGTTTATTTGTAAAAAATGATTTTACTTTGTTTGTTTATGTTATATCTGATCATTAAATTTGATTGGCCAAAAATTATGAAAGGAGAAAATTTTTGTAGGTGCACTTATACATGAGTGCCTAAATTTGGGAAGATTTATGGCATTACAGCATGCCGATATTTTTTATATTTTTGTTATACCACTTCAAAATGCCTAAATGCCAAAAATAATTTTGGCTGCCAAAATTATTTTCAGCTGCCTGAGTACTGAAAATAATTATGGCTGCCGAAATTATTTTTGGTTGCCTAAATTATTTTTGGCTGCCTGAATGGCGAAAATAATTTTGGCTGCTAAAATTATTTTTGGCTGCCAAAATTGGTCCCAAGTTAAGGCCTAGAACTTTGACTTGTATGCATATGTATCTAGTTTTAAAAACTGTAAAGTATAGATGAATACATATTTATTATGCTACTTATATCTAAATATATTAGATACACATGCAGATGTGAGTCAAATCCCAAGCCTGACTTGGAACTGAACTTATAAAAACTCAATTTTTAGAGTCAAGTCGGGACTAGCCTTTTCATATCCCTAGCTAGAATACATATACTATACAGTACATATTTTACTGTTGATCAATCTAATTTATGATAAAAACATTACTAATTCAGAGTACAAACAAGTTGGTAATCTGATTATCACAAGAAGCAAATGTTAATGTAATCGCATGTGAATTCAAGGGACCTTTTTTAATAAGTTTATTAATTATAAAGATTATCATTCTAAATTGGGAGAAGCTTTTATTATTATCAGTTCTAAGCTGATTTTATGTATTGACAATAGCTTTTTTTTAAAGATAAAATTATAAGCATATTATTGCATATTTAAAAAACAATAGTAATGCAGAATTTGCAGGATTCAAAAATTTGATTGTCTCATTATTGTTATTTTTGATAATAAATTTTATAAATCCTATTGCTTGACAATAATACATACCAGTAATATGCAGAATTCGTAGGATTTACAAAATTTATTTATTATACTAATTTGAAAATAGCAATAAGAAAGGATGAATAATTTTTTTAAAACCTGTTTTGAATAAGTATATATATATTTTTTATATAAATGTTTCTTTTTTGCTATCTTTACAAGTTTTTTTTTTAAATTAAACAAGTTATTTGATAAACCAAGCCTCTAATTACTTGTAACTTTATATAATTATGTGTATCAAGTTACTGTAATGGAAAATAATGTTTCTAATTCAGCAGCAGAAATTTCTAACACTAATGATTCTGATCATGATACTGATATTTATACTAGTCAAACCCAAAAAAAAAGAGCCCATCCAAAAAATATACTTTGGGATAATCATTTTAAAGAAATTAATCCACATGATGATGGTCATAAAGGTTGGGAATATATAAACTGTAAAGAAAAAAATTCATGTGTAATAGATATAAATATGAACACATACCTGGCTTTAAATTGTAAAAAAGTTCTACTTAAGAGCTTTTATAAAAATTTTCTGTACCAAACCAAAAAAGAAAAACTAAAACAGAAATAGATATTATTACTGGTTCCTAATCATGAATTGACAATAAATTTAAAGTTGTAAATAAATTAGATGCAGGGCAAGTAGAATTATATCACAGAGAATTAACTCAATTTTTTGTATGCTGTGGAATTCCTTTTTGGATTATTGAGCATCCATTTTTTTTAGATTTTTGTAAAAATTTATATTCTTCATACAAACCTTCTGATCGAAAAACTTTAAGTAATGATTGGCTTAATTTTAAAACAGCATGAATTACAGCAGCTATAGAAAAAGAACTTCAAGATAAAAATAATCTTATATTAGATAATATAAATTATAATAATATTTTTTTAAATATATTTTAATAAATTAAAAATTAAATTATTAAATTATTATTTTTAGCTTTAGATAAATGGACAAGCAATCGTGGTTATTCTTATTTTGCTTTTGTAATTATAACTGCTAGTAAAAAACAATATATGCATTCAATTAAAGATTTTTCTAATGAATCACATACTGCAACTTTTACAGCTAATGAAATTGAAAAAGTTTTAACAGATATTGGTGCTAATAAGTTTGAAGCTATAGTTTCTGATGCTGCTTCTGCTATGACACTTGCCAAACAACATATTTCAACAAAATATTCAGATATTTTGCCTATTCGATGCATTGCACATCATATTTAGCTAATTTGCAGTGATATTATTTGTAAAACTTTATTTGAAAAAACTGTATTACAACAATGTCAATCTTTTTTAACTTACTTTCATGCATCTCATCGATCTGGTGCAATTTTGCATAATGAAATAGCTCATTTTATGATAAACAAAGATGGATTAAAAAGTTCAGTTTGTTCACGTTGATCATCTGCATATGATTGTGTACAATCAGTTTTTAATATAGAAATTTGCATTAAACAGGTAATTAATTATTTAATATGTATTTAATATTACTATATATATATATTTTATAATTTATTATGTATTAAAATTTATAATTAGATTTTAGAGGATAATAATTATGCATTAACACTTGAGTTAAGAAATCTTGCACGAAATTGACAATTTTGAACAAATGCAGAAATTTTAGCAAAAATATTATTACCTGCTAAAAATGTTGTTAAAATAGTTGAATCTAAATCTACAACTACTGCTGATATTTTTTTATTTTTTATTCAGATGGCAACTGCAATTAATACACTTGAGATAAATAGTTCATTACAACATATAGAATTTCATAAACAATGCATTCAATTTTACAACAAATGATAGAAAGAGTTTGATATAAAAATTTATCTTTTAGCTTATTTTCTTTATCCAAAATATCAAGGAAAGGGTATGAAAACTTCAATTTTTCATGAAATTTTATTAATTGCTCTTGAAATATGAAAAAAATTGGTAAAAAAAGTATAACAAGTGCAAATATATTAATAGCACAAATTAAAAAGTATGATATATATGAAGCACCATATAATTTTACCTTTGTAGAAGGAATTGAATCACCACAAATCTGGCGGCTTGGATGTAAACTAGATAATCATCATTTACAAAACTTGCTTTATACTTGTTGGCAATTACACCTCATAGTGCAAGTTGTAAATGTATATTTTCAGTTTTAAGTTGGATTACTCAAAAAAGAAGAAGCAGGTAATTAAATTAATTAGTATATATATTTTTTATTAATATATATTTACTATATTATTTTTATAAATTAACTGTAGAAAAAGCATCAAATATCGCCAAATTACACACATATTATATAACCAATACTCAAGGTGAACTAAACTATATTGTAATTAATATTTCAGAAGCAGAATTTGAACAAATGATGGAAAATTATTCAAATTCAATTGAATATGATGATGATATGTTTAATGATAATTGAAGATTTTGATGCTGATTATATTTCTGACGATGATAATTTAGATGAAATTATGCAATTTGATTGTGAAAATTTGGAAGTTAAAGAAATGATAGATTTGAATATTTTTGCAGGAGAACAGATAAGTGAAACAAATTATGATAATGTTGTAGAATCTGAGAATGAACCCAATTATGATATAAATGAAGTTATCAATGCAGCTATGAACAATATAAAATAAGAGTTTTTTTTTATTTAACATTATTTTTATTGTTAAATAGAAAATTTTTATTTACAATATATTTATAAATAAACTTATCTTTTATGCTTTATTATGCTTCGATAAAATTCTAACTCTATTTAATATTCAAAAATATTTTTAATATTCAAAGTCATTATGATCCGGAAGTAAGTTTTTTTTTTTTAAGAGTATTTGTTTCAAACCAAAATATTAAAAATATGGTTATAGGCGCAGTTAAGCAAAAAAAGCTAGAATTAAGTAATCTATATTGGTTACATGTACTCCATTGCATGCGGCCTTAATATGTTAGGATAGTACTGAGCTGTCTAAAATTTAAAAATATCGGCATGAAAAAATTGGCTATTATCTTTGGTAGCAAACAAGATACACTCCATAGAATTAAAAAAAAATAAGTGAAAGAATAAGTCAGGGTTGCCACAAAAAAATAAATAATAATAATAGGTAGATATGAGGTAAATAATATAATAATCAAAGATAACGCTTTTGGTATCATAGGAGGACTTTCGTCTGATTCTGATATAATTCAATTGCGTGGGTAACTTATTTATACATTTTAGAGTACTTTTTGAAAACGTAACGTTTTACTAATAAAAAATTGTTGCAAAAGTCATAAAGGTTTGTCTGTATTATGAATTTGTTCGATTAATTGGCTAATTATCATGGTAAATCACGGGTAGATCTATAAAACTTAGCCAATTAGATGAATGTCTTCCTATACTTTCGGTATATGAAAATAATTTCGGTACCCGAAATTATTTTCAATATCTGAAATATTTTCGGCATCTGAAATAATTTCAACATCCGAAAATATTTTCGGCATCTGAAATATTTTCGGCACCCGAAAATATTTTCGGCATCCGAAAGAATTTCGGCATCTGAAAATAATTTCGGGTGCCAAAAATATTTTCGGCATCCAAAGTAATTTTGGCAACCGAAAATATTTTTGACATCCGAAATTATTTACGGTTTAGGCTGCCTAAAATATTTTCAGCAATTTTTATTTTCGGCAAGCCAAAAATAATTTAGGCACCCATCTATAGGTGCACTAGGGGGTTAGAAGTTATAATGTCTAAAGCCAGGTAGTAAGCTACAAAAAACCTGGGGTTGTCTAAAGCCAGGTAGTGATGTAATCTAATAGACACATTACTACCCAACTTTAGACATTGTGACTTTGTCACTACCCGGCTTTAGACATGAGGACTTATATCACTACCTGGCTTTAGACAACATGTGCCACATTAGCCACTGTGGCTGGTGGTCACGCGACTACCCGGCTTTAGACAGCCCCCAGATTTGGCATATTGGAGATACCTGACCGATTGGGGAAATCAGGCCTGGAAGCCTAAATTTGGAAGTACCTGTGGTCATGAGGGCACGTTGTAAAGGGTCCGGATGACCGAAATCCAACATTTTTTTTTTGGTTTATTCTATTTTTTATTATTCTTTTATTTGTGAAGTTGGAATAGTTGCTAAAAATAGGAATTTCATACCTTGGTGCAAATTGTACCTGGGGCAAATAGTACCAGGTGCGAATTGCACCGACTCATTCAACGCCATGTGCAAATTGCACCTAGTCAATTAAGCCAGGTACATTTTCACACTGAAACGATCCTTTCTACAAAACTTGTTGAAGTTAGTACCTGACAAATATATTAGAATAGCGGAAGTTAGTAAACAGATATTCCTGTACGCAGTAAAGATCAAAAGTATATAAGATCCATATTTTTTACTTCAATAAAAGGGAGACAGATAGAGTTTGACTCGGTTAGTAGAACCCAAGTGAAGTTCGGCACTGAGAAAGTGTTTATCCTACTAATCCCCCCAGTTGATAAATTCGTATGAGAATTAGTAGTTTGGTCTCGTGATTTCTAAAACCCTGTGACGTAATATAAAACTCTAATCTAGCATCCTAATAGCTCGGACCAAATCTTACCACGCCTCGATCGTAGCCTGCCACCATTAGGGTATAGATTAGATAGTGTGTTTTGTGTTGGTTGGATTGGGTCTAGTGCCGATTGATATCCGTATTACCTATAGTTCCCGATTCCGGATCAGTTCCCACTTTTACAAAGTGCCTGCTTTAGGTCATGTTTCCGGGTTTACAACATCATCTCGATCATTAGCTTATTTCCTTGAATGAAGTAACGTTAATTTTATTCAATAATATAATCAATTTATTTTTATATTTTACAAAATTTTTACAAATTCACATGCTAGAAAAACGAGTTATATGCTAATTTATGAAGATATACTAAGGTAACATGCGACTGACCCTCCTGCTCGTCCTCACTATAAATATTACTCAATGAATAGCACTTTCCTAACATAACAAATCAATTTTTCCATTTTTATTGAGGCTCATAGAGTGAAAAATTCAAGCTTTTAGCTTATCAGGTTAGAATATATATAAGCATTCCTTATATAATTCTGTTCATTCGCGTTCAATTTAATCAGTACAGTCAACTCCCGCAATAGTCACGCATCAAAACCGGCCATTTTATGTGCCTATTGCGGAATTGTGACTAATTTGAGCAAAAATTTATATATAATATACATTATTGCACAGAAAATTAAGGTGACTAAAGTGAGATTGTGACAAATGCGGGTGCGACTATTGCGAGAGTTGACTGTAAAAATATTCGTTATCTTCTGTTCATATGAGTTCAATTCATATGAATTAAATGAAATAAAGCTACTTTTATAATATGAATCATTATTATTCTTCATAACTTCATTTTTTATAGTTTGTAGTTTTTTATCAGATTCAGATAATTCAGATAAAATATTTTCACTATTCTGCCATGCTGTGAAAATATCAACAATTTCTTTTGCTGTTGGTCGGTTTTCTGGTTCCACGTCCCAACATTCCTTCATTAAATCAGCATAGCACATCGCTGTATTTTCATAAATATGCGGTCGTAAATCATTTTGTACTTGTATTTGAACAGATTTACCATAGAAAATTTCCCACATGATTATGCCAAATGAATAAATATCAGATTTTATAGTATATGGTTGTTTGTTAAGAATTTCGGGAGCAACATAAGGTAAAATTCCATAAACCCCATCTGTTCTTGACTTTGATGCAATATTAGCTGTTATCGATAGTCCTAAATCTGTAATATATGCGCTTCTCAAGTCGTTTTGTAGTATATTTCCACTATGTAAATCCCGATGAATAAATTCACGAGAATGAATTATCAAAAGATCTGATGCAATACATTGTAGCAGATTTAATTTATCTTTCCAATCCATTTTTGCTATAGCATGCAGATTTTCGCGCAAACTACCTTTTGAAGCATATTCCATGACAAAAATAAAATCTTTAGAAGCTTCATCTCTTGATATACCGTAACATTTTAAAATTGTTGGATCTTTAAGCCCAACATAATGATATGCGTCTAACTAATTATTAAAAAAGAATTATATATCAAATTGTATATTTAATTTTTAGCATAAATGATAAATCATGAATAATATACAGCAATTAATAAAATATTTTATAAAGATTACCTCTTTTATAAATTCTTCTCGATATTTATTAGATTCATGGAGTAACTTAAGCGCAACAGGTCTGCGTAAACTCTTATCATCCCACATGGCATAGTATACAGTTGCAAATCCGCCTTTACCTATCTCTTCAATACTTTTAAACTCTTTATAAGGAATCCAATATAACCGATATTCTTTTTCGATCAATATTTTTTTCGAAATATTTAAATTATTGTCATTTTTAGGATTATACACCTGTTCATTTGCAGCTATTATTTAATTATAAATTTAGTCAATTTATAAGTTATAATAATAAGCGTAACAAAATATATAAACTAGATAATACCTAAAGTAGAATCTTTTTCCCTAATAGGCGATTCGAATATATAAAATTATTAAATAAAAATATATATACTTATTTCGATATAATGTATTTAATAATTACCTTTGATACCAGTATCTGGCTTTATGTAAGTCTCTTGTTATTCCAATTCCATTTCTATAACATTCTGCAACTTTTAATATTCCAAGAGCGTCCCCCATCTCTGCAGATTTTTGATAATAAACGAATGCTTTATGTTCATCCTTTTCAATTCCAAATCCATTCTGATAGCAAGATCCAACACTATATGTTCCACTAGCGTTACCCATCTCTGCAGATTTTTGATAATAAATGAATGCCTTATGTTCATCCTTTTCAACTCCATTTCCATATTTATAACAATATCCAACATTATATGTTCCATTGACATCACCCAACTCTGCAGATTTTTTGTAATAAATAAATGCCTTATTTTCATCTTTTTCAACTCCAATTCCATCCTGATAATAATTTCCAACCATATATGCACCACTAGCATTACCCATCTCTGCAGATTTTTGATAATAAATGAAAGCCAGATGTTCATGTTTTTCAACTCCAATTCCATCCATATAACAGATACCAAGTGCAAATATTCCATCAGCATTACCCATCTTTGCGAGTTTTTGATAATAAATGAATGCCTTATGTTCATTCTTTTCAACTCCAATTCCTTTTCTATGACATTTTGCAACTTTTAATATTCCATTGACATTACCCAACTCTGCAGATTTTTGATAATAAGTGAATGCCTTATGTTCATCCTTTTTAACTCCAATTCCATACTCATAACAATACCCAACACTGTGTGCTCCTGAGGCGTTACCCATCTCTGCAGATTTTTGATAATAAATGAATGCCTTATATTCATCCTTTTTAACTCCAATTCCATTAAAATAACAATCCCCGACATTATATGTTCCTTTAACATGCCTCATCTCTGAAGATTTTTGATAATTAATGAATGCCTTATTCTCATCCTTTTCAACTCCAATTCCATTTAGATAATGAATGCCAACATTAAATAATCCTTTATCATGTCCCATCTCTGCAGATTTTTGATAATAAATGAATGCCTTATGTTCATTCTTTTCGACTCCAATTCCATTTTGA